GTCGCTTTAGTTACTCGTTCAGTCTCCTCTTAAAGCTGACATTCTGAGCTATCCAACGATACCACTGCAATTCCTGTACGTGAATTTATACGTACACGGCTGCTCTTTAAAGGGGCGGGGGGGNCCTGCCTCTTATACACATCTAGATGTGTATAAGAGATAGCTGCTAGACTTATTGCCTGGTCCGTAATTTGCTAGGCATTTTAAGACTGAACATATGCTCCTGCATAGCTTCGTGCCTTCGTCTAGTCTGATCTTGTAGGCGTTCATACTCGCGGCGACAATGATGCTATCAGGGAGGCTGTTCCACATGTCGGTGACTCGAAGCGAGCAGAAATGTTGTCGCATGGATGTGTTACAACGCTGTTTTTTTTAGTTTATAGCCGTGGCCCCTGGTGTTGGTTCGTGTTTCAAATTCTAGTAATCCTTCTGGGACCTTGTATAAGCCATGAGTATACTTGTATGCTTCAATGAGGTCCCCACGCAGAGACGTCGATAACTGAGGCTTGGAAGCTTCATAATCTTTCCTCATGGGACTTGCATTTCAAGCCCGGAATTATCCTTGTTGCACGTCTTTGAAAACAATATCAAAATAATATTGGGAGTAAACAACATTTCAGTTGTGATAGTTGCACCGTGAAATATTCATTACATTACACGAATCGAATTCAAGAGAAGAACATGGAAGAACCCCAGCAGATGTTGCCTGCACGACGGCAAACAGAATATGACGCTAAGCAAATGCGTGACTGGCAAATGGTTCCGCACTGGCGTCTTAATACCCATTAATGCCGAGCGGTTCCGTTTGGACCCAGCGGAAAAAAATGGATTCATAATAAAATTGTTTGGTCAAATCAATATACTTGTGGATGCGTAGGTTTGATACACATCTTGTCCATGTTCTGGCAACGTTTTGTTCTGCTGCGCCGACTACTCCCTGTTCAGTTAACATTAAGGCCTTGATTGAGAACCGAAAGGCTTCGAACAGGCTCGGCTCTTTCCTATGCGTTTCTTCTCAAATTAGAATAGACTCGTAAATGAGATAGCGATATGGATTTTTCCATGCTTACCCAGCTATTTATTTATAAACGGTGGACAGGAATAAAAATATGTAAACTCAGTATTAAAAGAGTTTTAATTAATGAGAGGAAATTTCAAGAAACTTTGAATATTATTGTTCATCAAGTCTGCGACTTTTATACTTTTTTCGAGATGTAAACGGGTTGTAATTTTCATTCTCCATGGAATGGTATACTCGGCATTCCTTGATCAGCCTCCTTGTTGTAAATATTATTTCTCAAAAAAAGTTATGATCGAACCTGCTGATACGCGGAGGGAAAATCCCGCATACTAGCTGCTCAAATGGAGGCGTTGTGGAAGGTCTGAGAGGAAAGAGACGTCGTAAATTACTCGACTGTCAGTTCACGACGAGCGGCATGGTGAACGCGAACTCAATGAGGGGCGAAGAATAATACGTGGCCAGTGGTCGACCTAGTCCAATTAGTTATAGCCGACCGTTGGTCATTCCTCGGCCACCTGAAAGCGACCAGTTACCGCGAGAAAGGGGCTGGCTAGGATATCATATTACAAAGAGTACAAGCTCGAGGGTAGCGACTGACCGAGCTTCGGGCAGATAAAGGATTTTACACGATGGTCGCGAAAACCTCGCTCCCAGACTTCGCTGCATTCTGAGTGCAAGCCTTAAAAGATTGTAAGTACCGCGGGTGTCAGTCTGGAGGGCTTGGCATCATTGCAGAGAAAGATAAGTAGTTCGTTCTTAAAATATATTATTTATAAGTTAGATGCAGAATTTTATTGGTAAAGAGATTACTTTTAATTCTGTATATGGCATTACGTGATATAATGTTTCTACAGTCATTTAGATCATGAAATATTTTGCCTGGTTCCAAATGGAACCGCTCGGTAGTAGTGTAAGCATTCCGGTCATCTCATTTTCCCAGTTGATTACTTTGTGATATAGTTACGCATTGTATTTCAAAAATTTGTTTGTATTAGAAATTATTTATTTAGATTTTAGATCTACAGTTTTCTGTTATTTATTAGTGAACTATCATCTTTAGAGAGGTCTGTTAGGAGTATATAACCCGAAAGTTGAAATATTAGGAGGTAGGTACGTTGAACACTATGCGATTTTTGATCCCAAGTCACTTTTTTTCTCATTGTTTTTTTTTTTTTTTGGCAGATCATCACTTGAAATAATTGAAATTTCGAGAGAAGAATAGCACGAAGATCAAATATTTGAAACTTTCACAGAAGCAGCAACAAACGAAACAGACTAAGATTCAGATTATAAACTTTGGGCCGCAGATAAATCAGATGATATGTTTCTGCAATTGACGCCAATTGGCGGATCTAATAGAAAAAGCAACTTATTCATGGGCTGGAACATGGATTGGTCCCATAAACATGATACAACTCGTCCTTGGCCAACATATTATATATGATATCTATTTTGGTTTAATTTGGCTTCTCAAAAAAACTTTGTGAAAAATAATGGCTATTGAAAAAAATAATGGCTATTGCAATGATTTTTTTAAAAGATCTGTTATGAAAAGCAATAATGCAGGAGACCCTAAATAAAACAATCAGGGTCTATAGTGCACCCTTCTACTTCGATTCTTGATGAAGTGCGATACAACGAACAACAACATCGGCCAGGAAAGAGACATCAGAAGCACTGCATATGCAAACAATGTGGAAAACGCGCCCACAAACATTCGTAACATGGGCAAGCTTCCCATTCATCCTGCATGAATGAAAACATTCCTTGCTAAAAATTAAATTGCATTCAACCATGATTGGTTTATCATCAGTATTGTCTATTATGAATACGTATATTACGTATTGTCCATTAATTATGAATAACCTTGCTTGATTTACTATCGGAAAAAGTGTTGTTTGAAGAAACGTTATGTTAATGCCGAGCGGTTCCATATGGAACCAAGCTATAATTTTTCACATACAGCGAAAAATACACATATGAACATATTTTTTGTTTATTACCATCACAAATGATAATATTCTCACAAGGAACCAAAATGAAATTCAGAAAATAATTCTCGGCATTAATGGGTTAACAAAATTCACAATAATTGGTGCTACGATCCATACAGTGGGGGGAAATAAATATTCGTACACTTGAAAAATCGTATTTTAATGTATGTAAGTACACAAACTGAACAGGAGAAGTGATTTATATTATGTATAGAGGCGCATTGTATTCAAAAATAGCATCAATAGAAATTAAATCTCAATGCTACAAAAATTAATGCAACATGTTAACTTCTTCGGGTCAAAAAAGTATTCGTTCAAAACAACTTTTGACTAATATTTCACACCAGAACATTCCAGAATGTACTAGAAACATGTAGCACGTTCCAGTAATGTAATTCAGTAACCATAGTTAACGTATTTTGCAACTACCAGATCATTCTGCAACTGCCCGTAGTACAAGAAGGTCTCAAAAATGGCTAAAGGTTAAGAACTAACAAGTTCCCAAAAAAAACTAATTCTATCGCGTTGGAAGGAAGGAGAAAGTTATAGGAAGATTGCTAGCCACTTGAATGTTCCTTTTAGTACAGTTGCTTCGTTTATACTATGCGTCTCTATACATAATTTAAATCACTTTTCCTGTTAAGTTTGTGTACTTACATACATTAAAATACGATTTTTCAAGTGTACGAATATTTATTTCCCCCCACTGTATATAAAATTATTTTTTTTTCTTTTACTAAATTTTAATGATTTAGAAAGAAATCACACGACTGTTATTCGTGCTCGTGAATATATGAGATTTATTGACTGAATATTTTTAGCTTTATTTAATATTGGAAATTAGAAAATGCGAAATAAGTAAGCGAGTTAAATATAATAAAGTTACATATAGTTACAGAGGTTGATGATCACGAGTTTGAAGGTTTAATAAAATTAGATATGACATACAAGAGAAATACCAGTGCGGTACACAATTCGATTCACAACAGATCTACCCAAAGCCTCCAGCACTCTGGTAGAATTGGTGTTACAAGGACAATGTAGGTGCATGCATGGAACTGGGGGCATGGACTGTGCAACGGATTCACCCTTGTGTGCCTTCCATTATAGAATGAGCAGAAGTATCGGGTTTCTGCCGAATACTCGCACTTAAGTCTCATGATTTTTCGATGATGTACATGTAAAAGAAAAGAATGGGAATGTGCATTTACTCTGGGCAATTTCATGCTACTCCCTATTATTTTGAAACTATGAGGAAAAAACTTACATCTATAATGCTCATATTACAGAAAAAGCAATGTCGTGCGTTGGAAGCATACGAGTGTGAAGGAGAAAAGTTCCGACAGACGGCAGCGACCGGCCGCGAGTCCGGCCGTAAATTTGTCCGAGACGTGTGGGCTTAGCAAGGGAATCAGGAAATGTTCTTTCGTAGATGAATGACTTGTGATGTAGATCCAAATTTTTTTGCCGTTCGTTTTGCATGAATAATACACTTAACTGATGATTTTCAAACTGATGAGCAGAGGTATCGGGTTTCTACCAAACATTCACATTTCAGTCGCATGATTTTCCGATGATGTACATGAAACAGAGAAGAATGGGAATGTTCATTTGCTCTGGGTATCTTCACGTTTTTTCCTATCATTCCAAAACTATCCTGAGAAGAACTTTCATGGAAAATGCACAAATTACGGCAGAGCAATTTCGCGCGTTCGGAGCAATTGCTCATTGTTTCAGTAATAATAAAATTATTCCCCATTATTATTGATCAAAATGGCTTTTTTATTGTTGAAATTTTTCTTTTTGAAGAATATCATGTTTTCGCTAGCAATTATTGTCTAATTTTTACGTAGAGACGTGAGGCAATTTTGTTACGGGTTAGATATTTTTAATAAAAACATAAACGTCCGAGCCCTCTCACGATCATCTGGCCATGCACGAGGCTCACAGCCTCACAGGCTGTTTTCTGTTTGTTAACGACGACTGCGAAGTAGAGAAGCACTAAGAAGTTCTCGGCTTCTCGCAGACTGCTGCGACTCCTTGAGGCGTGAGCTGGTGAGCTTAGCATTTAGCAAGGGAATCGGATAATGTTATTTCTTAGATGAATAGCTTGTATGCATGGATTTACAGACTTCTGAATGTAAAATGGACTGGACTGATGAATTTCAAATTTTCACGCAGCAAAATTTCAAGCAAATGCATTGCATTAAAAGCAGCATTATTGCAAGCCGCCGAAGCCGGCCCACCGGCCATGCAGTTTTCGATGATAACCAAACTACCAGTACCAAAGCAAGTTCAACTGATAAAATTTCAATAATTTATCTTTTAATCATCTTGTTTGTAACTTTGTTAATCCTCCAAACATGGTGCCAATCCATAGGTTATTCAAAAGAACCTGTTCTTATGTCATTTTGAACCGATCTACACTTCTTTATGGACTGATCGTAAAACACACCTTCACCGGCAAAAGCTTTCACACTTCTGAAGAAGGTGAGCTGACAGCTACACTGGCCGTGGGGTGTGAGTGGACCTAATTTGAATTTGAATGCATGCAGCGATTCAAAATCCAATAGACTGTGATAGACATAGTATACAAGTCATAGAGCCTAAATTTTTAATATCTATAAAAAAAATGTACGTTTCTGCATGTACCGTAAAATGGGGTAACTTAGACCACTTTTTTTCTTATAAATGATGCCATTTTCTTACTAGCTAAATTAAACTTGAATTGAAACATGCAAAATACAGGTCTATACTCTAGCTTCACTCACCATAAATTGCTGGCTCCTGCCTCTCATAGTCTTTATGTAATTTCAAAAAAAGTGATGGTCTTTCCCAGCTCTTGGGGTAACTTAGACCGGGTGGTAAAATCAATTATTTTTTTTGGTTAAATAACTCCAGGTTTTGATGCATTGTAGTAGAACTCTTCTAGTTACATATGCAAATGACAAATTTTAGGAAAGTGTCATAGTTTGCAAATGGGGGGCGCCGCCCCCAAATGGGGTAACTTAGACCACCTAATGTCAGCCCTGATGGGGTAACATAGACTTGCTTGGAGGTTAATATAAAATTACCATATATAACATATTTTATGTTTGACAGCCTATTTATGTTTTTTCTTTATGTTTCAGACTCTACAGAGTCTTATATATGGTAATTTTAACTTAATTTCCAAGCCAGTCAATATTACTCCATCAGGGCTGCCATTATTTAGTTATATTTCCCTCATTATGGGGTGGCGCCCCCCATTTGCAAACTATGACACTTTCCTCAAGTTTGTCATTTGCATATGTAACTAGAAGAGTTCTACTACAATGCACCAAAACCTGGAGTTATTTTACCAAAAAATATATTTGATTTTACCACCTGGTCTAAGTTACCCCAAGAGCTGGGGTAACAAAGACCATCACTTTTTTTGAAAATACATAAAGACTATGAGAGGCAGGAGCCAGCAATTTATGGTGAGTGAAGCTAGAGTATAGACCTGTATTTTGCAGGTTTCAATTCAAGTTTAATTTAGCTAGTAAAAAAATGGCATCATTTATAAAAAAATGTAGTCTAAGTTATCCCATTTTACGGTACATAGATGGGAGAAATGTTGACATTTACGCCACTATATTTAGTTTTGCAATATTCCAATTAGTTTTGCTACTAAAAGTTTTACGCGGTGTCGGAGGACTGTCCCGAGTTACCCCGTCAGTCCCGAGTAGCCCCGGTTGACGGTATCATATCAATAAAGGAAAAATCACAGAAAATGTCATTTATTCGACATTTACGTAATCTACAAAGGAAAACAAGAACTTCAGAGTGCTGTTAGTTATAGATGACCACACTCTGCATGCTTCAAACATTTTAAAATTGAGTTTTATTTCAAGTGTCCCTTATTACCCCATTCCCAGGGTTGGTTCAGGAGGCTTTTATTTTGCGTCTTGCACTTTACAAATAGCATATGGAATTTTTTCACAAATGCCATACGATAGCCCTTGCAAATACCTTTATAATGAGCCAAAACTCGTTTATGAAATGTTTCATGGTAAGACGTTATCAATGAATAATGCTCAAAACCGTCCCTTATTACCCCGTTTGATGGTATTGTAGAAGGGAGTTCAGAAGTACTTTTTCTTACCATCACCATATCATAATTTTCTTTCAGTGAGTTGTGAATCAGTTGATTGTATTGGTTAGGAATCTTGTAATTATGATATTAATAACAAAAAGCATATATTTATGTATCTCTAATGTTGTACCTGAACTGGTATTATATACTGTACCTAGTGTAAGACTCTAAAAAAAATATAACTCAGTACTCACTGCAGTGAGTGATAGAGAGCGCATTTTCTCATCAACAAAAACTTGAGGTCACGGATGGACAGACAGACAGACGGACATGGCGAGCACAATAGTGCATTTTTTCCATAAATGAGAAAATGCGCTAACAACCTATGTAAATTTGAGGTAGAAGAAAACCCACTGATTACAAAATAACCTATGTATACATTACTAGGCCTTCCAATAATTCTTGTTTGATTAATTTTATCATTATTCCTCAAGACCATGACAATTTTATCTTTCAACTTGTATCCACCTGCATTTTCAAATGTAGTCTTTCCTGCAGATTATTTATGTGGCTGTGATATAGTCTATAGCAAGAATATCCTCTTGGGTCTTCATCATGAAGGAGCTTTACCAAGAAAAAGATAGGGTGAGCAACATCACTGCTATCAAGTTCACCTGCTTGAATTCTGCCATGACTAGCCAGATGTCTAGTATCTTGATTGAGAATTCCACTATGTACATGCCAGATGAACCTGGAAAACCTAATCCACAGGGTCCACTTTCTAGAAAAATGGTGAGTTCTTGATTTAAAATAAGGTAAAATTTTCATTATTTCTTAGTTCATTGAAAGTATGAGCTTCTTTATTTGTTGATATTTGTAATCAAATTGGTTGGTCATAAGATTTCATTGAAATATTTTTGTTAATAGGGTAGGTAGTAAAATTGAGTTTCAGCTCTGCTAGTCATGAAAATAGTGAAGGTTGAGAGTGAGAGGCTCTGTATGTTTGTAACTGCAATTTTTAGTGATAGGATATTCTTTCAACTTTAAATGATAGTTTAGTCATTTTGAGTTCATGTTAATCTTGCATTGATATAACTTAATAGAACTTGTCTAAATTTCATGCAAAATTTCAAGCCTTCCACAGATGGCTTTTGAAACTTACTGTGCTGCTGTTGTGATAGCTGAACGCAACTGATGAACCACACATGATGGATGGTTTACTTGGTAACATTTGGCAATAAATAATATATGCCAAATGTTCATTATGTACTTCAATCGGCAGTTTTTCTTCCTCTTTATTCTTGGCTTGAATTATTTATTTGATTGGAGTTACTGAAAAGTGTTACATTGATTATTTTTATTTTTTCCAGGGCATAAGCCAGAAAGATAGCTCATGCAGCACCTGTGGCAAAGCAATCGAGGAATGCCCTGGTCATTTTGGTCATGTAGACTTACACCTGCCAGTCTATCACTGGGGATACTTCAAAAATGTGGTTCAGATAATGCAATGCATTTGTAAGGTCAGTTGAGCATATATGTTTTCATTTATTTCTCTTATATTTACATGGAGAAATCACAAAATATGAATGGTTAGTATGAAATGGAAGATGATCCTCACTATTGTAACAGGGCCATTGTTCTAACTTTGTAGCAATTACTCAGAGAAATTTATGTTTCTTTTCTTGAAGTATGATATTTTATTAATGATTAAAAGTTGTACAAAGGTGTGTTTTTTAGTACTTTTCTTTGTGCTTTGTTATTTAATGAATAATAGAACAAACAGTTTTTGAGAGAAAACTTGTTGTCAATTCCTTTGTGCCATGTATCAGCTGGAATTAGTAAATTAATATAAGACCTTATTTTTCAAATTTTTTAAGCCTGTTTGAAAAAATTACTAGAATTTTTTACCAATGAAGTTTATGACTATTATTTCTTTTTCAGTCATGTGCACGTCTTCTCCTGAAACCTGATGTCATCGCAAAATTTACTCTTCAGTCCCGCAAAAATGCCAATGATTACCTCAAGAAGAAAGCTATGCTTAAGAAAGTTAATGAAATGTGCAAAAAGGTACGTTATTTTCTGATTCTCTTAGGATACTTTAACGTCCAGGTGTTAATCGGTGATTAATCAACCATCCTAATATTACCAGATGAAGCTCTGCTGGCCATAATTTATTTTTTTAATGTTTTCATTACATGTGTGATAAGTGATTATGAAATTTATTATGTGTCTTATTTTGTAGGATTGGCCATGTATCACGAAATGTGATACTGGTGATCACAAAATGTGATACTATTTAGGCTAAAAATTTGTACTTTTTTAGTTGCGGGATGACTGTTGGTGTAGGTATGTGTGCAGGGTTAAATATATGATTATGTTGCATTAAAGAGTATATATTTTTTACTTTCAGGTGAGAGTGTGCCCACACTGTCAGTCTTTGAATGGAGTGGTGAAAAAACTGGCACCTATGAAAATTATTCATGAAAAGTTTAGAGGTGCCAAAAAAGATGACTCAGCTCGTCAGAAATATATGAGTGAGTGACTAGATAAGCACAGCAATGAATTTAAAAGTACAGTATGATACTTTTTATTCAGAGTGTAACATATGGTAATTAATAATGTGTTGTGTGATATGCATTAAATAGGTATTAGGTTTTTAGTTAAGCTATTGAAGAAAATCCTAAAATTTTCAATTGGGTAGAAAATATAACATTTTTGTAGTGCCAGTGGTTTGGAATATTTGTTATTCATATCGTTTATGCTTTGTAAACTCTTGCTTTAGATCTTCAGAGAAATGCTATTGATTCAAAATACCTAATGAATGTATGTATTTGATGTTATATTTTTCAGGTATGATAATGGTTAGGTAGTGTTTCTCTTAACAGCTATCCAATCAATTAACTGGATGTGGCTCTGCCTCACATGTTAACTTATTACGCCTATTATACAGACCAGTACAACTCACTGGTGCAGCATGCTCCTGATGTGTCATCTCAACTGCCATCAAACCCGGTGGAGCTGATATATCCTGCTGAGGTCCTCAAGCTCTTCAACAGTGTGAGTAGCGATAGCTTCTGTGTTATAGTGTGAGCCGGGGTGGGTGGCTGCTGTCACTCTTTTGCGGGAGCCGCAGCTTTTCTGCTATAGCGTGAGCCGGTAAATCAATTTAGCATCTGCCACTAGGCATCTAGGAAATCAATAATTTCTTGATTTATTGAGCCCTTAAAAAACATTAGCAGTTTTATTATTATAATCAGCGCGGGGCAATATTGACTGATCATGACAAGGGTTATATTTCGTGCATTGCCAATTGATCTTGTTGTAATTGCCTATCCTGGTAGTGGCGAATAGGGAAGGAGGTGAAAGGTCAGTTTTTCCGGGCACTTGGTGCCACTGGTAGTTCTACCCCCATCATCACTGGCTCGCTGATCCGCCAGAACCATTTTATTGCATTACACAACATCCTGGACAAGCCAGGTACCGGTACTCATTTATCAACCAGAGTTAGATTAATGGCCGAGTTGACTATGAGCTGAGCTTCCTGGAAGAATTTGTACTCAGTGGGACTCGAACCCGGGAGCCGGGTGCGAGAGGGCAGTCTCTCACCACTGCACCACTGCAGCTCATATAACTGCCACTTGATAAAGCAGGAACTGTAATTAAATTATTTGCAGATGGACCCTCAAGATGTGTGCGTGTTGTGCATGGATGAGCAGTACTCTCACCCCAGGGACCTGATCATCACTCGGCTGCCTGTTGCACCAAATTGTGTTCGACCTTCCGTCTTCTCTGACCTCAAGAAGCCTGGGTCGTAAGTATATTTTGTCGGGGACATCTATAATCCATTATCATTTGTAAGGATATCTTACAAAAACATTTGATAAGACAAGAACCAAAGCATTTTTAAGATGAACACAAGTCTCTGATTCTACTCTTGGTAAGTTGGTTAATATTCTGTACGACAATAAATGTATCTTGTCACGTTCCTGGCGCCAGAGTAAGAAGCGTGTGGGATGAAAATTAGCAAAATCGCATCAGCCATGAAAATTAGCCAATCGCATCGTTAATCCTATTTACTTGAAACTTTTATCTTTTTCATCACAAAACTGACGAATTTTTTGCATAAGGCTGTTCATTATTCATGTTTTCTTTCCTCTTGAATAATTATCCTCGATGAGCTGGAGAATGAATTATTATTATTGTAATGACGTGCGTAATTTTACTGAAAGTTACTGTTTTGTACTGAAAATTTCTGCTTAAGGAAGGAAGTATTGAAAAAATTGAATTTGGCATTTTCCCTCATGGAAAAGCAATCATCATTAACTAAGATTTAATTTTGTATCGTTTGCTTGCAGGAACGAAGATGACATCAGTAACATCACGGCACTGATCATCTTCTTGAACAACTTGGTGGCTCACCGTGGCGATAATACCAGGATCGGCAATCTCTACCAAGCTTATGAGATCATGCAACTGCACGTCGCTTTGCTCATCAATTCTGAGATCAGCCTTCCTCCTGAACTGAACTTGGTGAGAATATTATATCGCTCGCTAATGCTGCTTAAATTGGCTCTTACAGTTAATGCTGCTTAAATTTTCCTCTATGAATTTGGTGACATTTCGAGGAATATTCTATAGCTTACTAGCGGTGAAGTACGTAACCATACTTTATGACAGCTTTCTCCAATCGCGTTGCACAATAAATAATATAAATTTATCTACCTATGCAATGATTCCATCACTTTTCTACGCTTCAAATTCTTCAAAAGTCTTCTTTTTTCCACTCATCGCGGTCGTAAATATTATATTTACTGTAGCTTTGGTCAAAATCATTTTCATTTTGAATTCTTTTTCAATTTCACCTGCACTGCTATCAAGGTAATTTCATATCCAACGCCCCTAAATTTTGGTAATAAAGTCCCGTTAATTAAGTAATTCTTCAACATGAATTAACTAAACTTTGCAGGCCCGGAAATCCTACGTAGGGTTTGTGCAGCGTCTGAAGGGCAAGCAAGGCCGCTTCCGTGGTAACCTTTCTGGCAAGCGAGTCGACTTCAGCAGCCGAACAGTTATTTCTCCAGACCCTAACCTCAAAATTGACCAGGTGATCTGTTGTGGCATGTATTTCTCTTGGATGAATTATTGAATATGACTCGCTCCGATTGATCTATCCTATCTCGTTGTTTAACTTTACGAAAAGCTTTAATAGTTATGCTAATTATTTAACTTTAAAAATGATGTGACATTGAATAAAAGAGCTCGAAGCAATAGTCTTGAGAAATGACTTTGAACTTTACGAAAAGCTTTAATAGTTATGCTAATTATTCAATATTGAAAATGATATGACATTAAATAAAGGGGCTCGAAGAAGCCCCTTTGAAATTGAAGACGCCCCTAAATGACGTTGAAATTTGTCTGATGTGATGCAGGTTGGTGTGCCTGAGGAGGTCGCCAAGACTCTGACGTATCCTGAGCGCGTGACGGCGCACAACATCGAGCTGATGAGGCAGCTCGTGCTTAACGGGCCTGACGTTCATCCTGGCGCGGTGTACCTAGAGCAAAAGATAACTCCTGGCATCAAAAAGTCAATTCGCCATTTATACAAAAGAAAACACGAGCTATCTCAAAACCTGCGTGAAGGAGACCTCATAGAGAGGTGTGACATCTAGTGAATTGATGAGATCTGAAAGTGAATTTGAACCAGCTTTTGAAATTGTAATTAAATGTCATATACACGATTATTTTGCGTATGTCTTTATCACTTCTCGATATAAGTTAGGGTTTGTAAGGCTTTTTATGTTGAACACCAGGACATATTTTGAAGCTGGATGACGATACGTAATTCAGTGAAATAAAGAGTTTTAAGTAATGAATACTTGAGTACCCATCAGAGTGGTAATAATAGTGTTGCTATTGGTATGTCCCAGACACCTGATGGACGGGGACACGGTGCTGTTCAACAGACAGCCTTCACTGCACAAGATGAGCATCATGGCGCACCGTGCCCTGGTGCTGCCGTGGCGCACGTTCCGTTTCAACGAGTGCGTGTGTGGGCCCTACAACGCTGACTTCGACGGCGACGAAATGAACCTTCACCTCCCGCAGACCGAAGAGGCCAGGGCTGAGGCGCGGACATTGATGGCTGTGAGTGACTGAGGATATAGTGGCTGTGAGTGACTGAGGAGTTGTGTTAATATAGTGGCTGTGAGTGACTGAGGAGTTGTGTTAATATAGTGGCTGTGAGTGACTGAGTAGTTGTGTAAATATAGTGGCTGTGAGTGACTGAGTAGTTGTGTAAATATAGTGGCTGTGAGTGACTGAGGAGTTGTGTAAGTAGTGGCTGTGAGTGGCCGGGTTGTCTTGTAAGTAGTGGCTGTGAGTTACCGGGTAGTGTTGTGAGTGACCGGGTAGTGTTGTAAGTAGTGACTGTGAGTGACCGGGGAGTTGTGTAAATAGAGTGGCTGTGAGTGACCGGGTTGTGTTGTAAGTAGTGGTTGAGAGTGACCCGGTAATGTTGTAAGTAGTGGCTGTGAGTGACCGGGTAGTGTTGTAAGTAGTGGCTGTGACTGACCGTGTAGTTAAGGGCCGCACCTTTAAACTCGATTGATTACCCGTAGCGGCCAAAGTACACGTGCTTGTCCGTTTTTCATCTTTGATTGGTGGGTTTAGCTTGAAAAGCCGTCAGCCATTGGCTGACTGAGTTAAAAATTCTTCCCGGTCTTTGATAGCACATACCAATGTACTAAAACGTAAGGAATCTACGTCTTGGAAAGCAAAGAGGCGCATACATTGATGGTTTCAAGGGACTATGCTTGGTTATAGGCTGAAAATCTAATGATTGATTAATAACTCAAAATTGCTTAAATGCGCAATTCGATATGCGGCACTGCAGTGGCGACTGATAAAGTCGATGATAGATAATGAATACCTATGTGAACATGATACATCTATTGCTCACAAAGGCATTTCAGCATTTAAATATACAGGTGAATATATCATGCCACTCTGATTCTAGCTAAGCCATCGTTTCCCCCAGGTTTTAGTAGATGCTGATATTTTCAATTATGTCCTCCGCAGCCGAGGCGTAGTATTTACCGAGCAAGAATCGTGACAACGAGGTTATTGGACTTTTTCGACCTGCTAAAAACTTTTTTGTGATGTAAGATTGTTTAGTCATAAGAATATAATTTTCATGTATTATCTGGTACATACGCCAATGTTTTTTTCGTTTCAGGTAAGCAACAATTTAGTAACGCCGCGCTCAGGCTCTCTCATCATCGGGGCGACGCAAGATTTCATCACGGGATCTTACATGCTAACGCGCAAGAGCGAATTCTTCGACAAGAGCAGCGCCTGCTCCTTGCTGATGTCCATCTCTGAATCTGCTCATGTTGAGCTCCCGCCTCCAGCTATCATGAAGGTGACGATAAAATGTGTTTGTCTTTATTATGAAATTACTTGCTGATTTACATTTTCACGTTGCTAATATAATGTTTTTTTTCCACGATGAAGGTTTCTCTTGTTGGCTGCATCTATGATGTCTTTATACAGTAGAATAGTTGTTTAATTCATGTTTATTTTTTCAGCCCATGCAATTGTGGACCGGCAAGCAGCTGTTCTCTTTAGTGATGCGCCCAAGTCAGCGTTGTCAAGTGCGCGTAAACCTTCTGGCCAATAAATGCAAAGACCAGAGCTGCCGCTACAAAGATGAGCTCTGCAGCAGCGACAATTACGTGCATGTACGCAACTCTGAACTGCTCTGCGGTGTCGTTGATAAATCCATCATTGGTGCGGGATCAAGAAAGAATATCTTCTACACTCTACTCAAGGACTACGGAAAGGTGACGTATTTCAGACGAACTTGAAGCTGACTGATTTTTAAATTTGTATCGTAATTTGGTCTTTGGTTGATTGGTCTTTTTCTAGTTATTCTTTGATGTGTCGGAAAATTCATAAAAAATTGGGTTATTGTTTGTTATTGGATTGATGAAAGAACTGTTTGTGCTGAACTTGCTTTAATTTTTCAAAAATTTCACGCCAAGACTTTTGATGTTCGGCTTTATGCAGCAGCACGAAGTTGTCACTCAGTGTGTCGCTCTGCAAGTTTACACAGATAAATCAAAGCTTTAAGTCTCCTCTATATTGTTCTATGAAAAACAAAGAATTATTTATAATTAATGGGCTGGCTTCGTGGAAGACTGTTACTGAGATGGTGAGACGAGCGATCTATGTTACATGTGTGTTTGATCAGCCTATAGCTATTCATATGCCGCGCACTGCATAATATGATGAAAGCAAAGGGTACTATGCTCAAATTTGTCAATACATCCTCAACTAGACTCAATATGTCCTTACTTAACTGGACAACATATGCCCAGCAAGCTTGTTGCACCTGACACAGTTTTTCCTACACCTGATCTTGGTTCCGAGATGAGCCTTTGATTTAATGATATTGAATAGAGATGTTCATCCAGTAGAAATAAGTTTCGCGCGCGGATTCTAACAATTTCCCCCCGATTTTGTTTGTACAGGAAGAGGCAGCAGAAGCGATGTGGCGCGTGTCACGTATGAGTACACAGTATTTAATGATGCACGGCTTCAGTATTGGTATAGGTGATCTCAGCCCATCGACCTCACTGCTAGCAATGAAAGAAGATTTGCTCAGGAAAGGGTGAGCGTCATTGAACAACAGAGAAAACATCAAAGCACGCTGATTTTGCTTTTATTGAATTAATTATTCCGTGCCCGATACAAGCGATTGCAGAGTTATTAATCAATCAGATTAAGTGAGTTATTAATCAATCAGACACCGGCCGTCGGCCGGTGTCTGTAATCCCACTGATTTAGGCTATTCCCCCGTTTCTATTGAGCCATTTTATTGTGAAGTTATCTTAGCTTCTAACTACATGAGAAGAAATGTAATTGAACTCTGTTATGTTATTGCGAATTTCTTTACAGCAACGCCAAGTGCGCGGAGTACATCGATCAGCTGGAAGCCGGGCAGCTCGAGACTTCGCCAGGCTGCAACGCTGAGGAAACATTGGAACAGGTTACTTAAATATTGGAACAGGTTACTTAAATAACCCCACTTTGGGATCGTGTATTATATAGGGTAAAATAGATCGTGGTCCGCAAATGACACGTACTTTTTAATCAGGATTTCAGCTATTTAGAAACGTATCTGAACTCGTTATTCGTTACATTTATACCGGCGGGTGTCTTCTTTACGTAAAAGTACTTTGTGTTGAATTTTAATTATATAACAACTACTTTTTACAGTAATTGGACCGATTTGCCATTTTTATGTTTTTATTTCTTCCGTATAACACGTGCATTTTTGCCTGGCTATGGATAAAGTCAATTACTACTTTTCCATCACTTCAAGAGATGCTTAATACTATTTCACTTATTACTGGACCAGCTAACTACTATTTCACTTATTATTGGACCAGATGATCTTGAGTGTGCTGAGCAACATTCGTGAGTCGGCCGGCAAGGGCTGCATTGAGGAGCTGCAGCGCCACAACTCTGCCCTCATCATGGCCGTGTCAGGCTCCAAAGGCTCCACTATCAACATCTCGCAAATGATTGCGTGTGTCGGCCAGCAGGCCATTTCTGGGAAACGCGTGCCTGATGGCTTCACGAACCGCAGTCTCCCGCATTACCAGTGAGAAATGACGTCAGCAGCCATGTTAAATTGGCTGGTAGATAACGAGATAACGTCTTCGTGAAATGTTTGAATTTGTTGTAACGAGAATGAGAAATGACGTCAGCAGCCATGTTCAATGGGTCAGGTAGATAACGTCTTCAGGAAATGTTTGAATTTGTTGTAACGAGAATGAGAAATGACGTCAGCAGCCATGTTCAATGGGTCAGGTAGATAACGTCTTCATGAAATGTTTGAATTTGTTGTAACGAGAATAAGAAATGACGTCAGCAGCCATGTTCAATGGGTCAGGTAGATAACGTCTTCATGAAATGTTTGAATTTGTTGTAACGAGAATAAGAAATGACGTCAGCAGCCATGTTCAATGAGCCTGGTAGATAACGTCTTCATGAAATGTTTGAATTTGTCGTAACGAGAATGAGAAATGACGTCAGCAGCCATGTTCAATGAGCCTGGTAGACAACGTCTTTATGAAATGTTTGAACTTGTTGTAACGAGAATGAGAAATGACGTCAGCAGCATGGTCAATGGATCTGTTGGATAACGTCTTTAAAAATGCTTGAATTTGCTGTAACGTAGAATGCAATATTTGTGCCTAGCGTTGCAAACCGTTGATAGGCTTCTTGAAAACAGTAATTAACTTTTTATGATGTTTTCCTTCTTTAATTACTTGAGGTTTCAAGTTAACTATTCAAGTTTACTGGATCTTTCTTCGTTTATGCTGAATGTATTTCAAGTCTATTAACAAAAATTTATTTTTGCAGCCGACACTCGAAAATTCCTGAAGCCAAGGGCTTCGTGAGCAACAGTTTCTTCTCTGGCCTCACTCCCTCGGAGTTCCTGTTCCACACGATGGGAGGACGAGAAGGCCTCGTGGACACGGCCGTCAAAACCGCCGACACAGGCTACATGCAGCGACGTCTCGTCAAGTGTCTCGAAGACCTCTTCGTCGCCTACGACGGCACTGTCAGGAATTCGTCCCAAGAAGTGATCCAGTTCCGGTATGGTGACGACGGCCTTGACCCTTCGCTGGTGGAAGTCGTGCCGAAAGCTGTTGACGGGAACGCTACCCCGCCCCTTGATTTTGAACGAATTCTTTACCATATTAAAGCCATCACTCCTCCTGGAAACGAATTTCTAAAAAGTACCGATCCTGTTCGTTGCACGAAAGAGTACTTAGCAGAGCTCACAGAAGGAGCAAATAAAACTTTTTCTCTTCTTTCTGAAAATTTCCGGAAATCTATCATCGAGTTCATGGAAAAAGAAAGTCAGAAGATGGCTGAAGCTGAGGTGCTCGAGAAAAAGCTCAACTCAAAGCACCGTTTACGACCTTTCACGGTGGACCAACTTTTGGCTTTTGTACAAACGCTTGTTAATCGCTACTTAGGCAGCAACATTTTGTCACTGAGCCGTGATGGGAGCGATCGCACGGAAGCAGGTCCCGGTATTATCGTAGAGCCTGGCACTGGTGTAGGTGCACTCTGTGCGCAGTGTATCGGAGAACCCGCAACACAAATGACACTCAAAACCTTCCACTTCGCCGGTGTTGCTGCCATGAACATCACACTTGGAGTGCCGCGTATCAAGGAAATCATAAATGCTACTCGTTGCATCAGCACCCCCATCATCACAGCGCAGCTCATCGACAACAGAGATGCTCACAAAGCTCGCCGAGTAAAAGCCCATATTGAGAAAACCTTGTTGGGTGAGGTATGCGAATTTATCAAGTTTGTATGCAGAGAAGACGAAATGTTCTTCATAATCAAACTTGCCATCGAACATATCAATTTACTGCAGCTCGGAATCAGCGCTGAGAGTGTGAAGTATTCCATTTGCACTTCAAAGATGAAGGTACGTGAGAGCGAAGTTTCTGTCAAGAGTGTCACTCTGCTGGTGGTGCGGCCCAACCCTCACGGCAAAGAAGATGCCTACCACCAAATGCAACACATAATCAAGCACTTGCCCAAGGTGGTGGTCAAAGGATTGCCCACTATTAGCCGAGCTGTCATCCACCAGCGAGATTTTCGCCCGGGCGAAAATAGAGACAGCCCAATTTACGAACTTTTGGTAGAAGGTGATAACCTGCGTGAAGTGATGGCAACAGTCGGAGTAGATGGACACAAATGTCGCTCTAACAACATCGTTGAGGTATACAACACTCTGGGCATAGAGGCTGCAAGGCAGACGATCGTTGACGAGATCACCCATACCATGAACTCCCACGGCCTCGGTATCGACAGTCGACACGTGTACTTACTAGCCGACCTAATGACTTGTCGCGGCGCCGTGTACGGCATCACGCGTCACGGTCTTGCTAAGATCAAAGAAAGCGTCCTCATGCTCGCGTCCTTCGAGAAAACTGCTGATCATTTATACGAGGCCTCTTATCACGGGCAGGTAAATGAAATCAACGGCGTCAGCGAAAGTATCATCACAGGCAAGCCAATCAATTTAGGAACTGGTCTCTTCAAACTCGTGCAGCGACATCGACGTTCTGATATGGTGCCAGATTCCCACAAGCTGACCCTTGATCTCGACGACACTCTTGAAGGGATGCCGTCTCCTATGCCGATTGGTCGGAGAGCCAAGCTTTTTGATGTGCCCGAGTTCCACGTTAATCTTTATGGGAGTAAAAAAAGTTATTCATATACAAGATAACAAAACTCCTCCGCAATATTTTCAACCGGGAAGAAGAGATGGCGTGTATAAATAAATTGCAGCTCAGGAAGTCGAATTGCATTTCACTCCCGACCTCTTCAAACCAGTCACTTATTTAAGCCTGTAATACTTGTCTGATTACGTTATGAATTATGAACACTTGGAAACTGAAACTTGTTTGCTGTATTACCTATAGGGAACGTGATAAATATTAATATGCATAGCAGAGGAAAAAATTATAGACGTTCATGCATTAACCATTTTATTGGCAATAGGTTAGTACGAAATAATAGTATTACACACATGAAGTCCTTCGTTTATTAAAGCAAGCGGAGAAAAGGTTTCATTTTTCAAATGAATGTGCTCTCGCACGACATTCACCATCGGGGCTGTCGAATGTGTTTAATATTAATTCATTTATGAATATAAACCATAATGGATAGTTTCTCGTACATTAAAGGAAATTCTGGTATATTACTCAATTATTCAAACAATCACAGAGGTAAATGAAAACAAAGGACGAATTTAGATTCAATCGCAGTATATGATCTTTCATCAACCGGAAACCTGTCGCGGTTCGCACATTCTCCTCCATTAATGCTGAAGTAATTTTTTTTTCATAATATACGAAAAGTGTACAAAAGTTCATTTAAAACTTCAGCTCTATTCTCAGATACCAAGGAGGAAGTGATTGGCGCATTCGCAACATTTGAGCGGATTCGTGAAGTATACTTACTTCGTCCGGACATAATCGAACAACAGAAAGACATGCGCCCCGCATTCGCGAGATGTAAAGAAAGGCCCAAGCTTATTTGACTGCAAGGCATAGACAAAAGTGATATCATCCCGGAAAAATTTGGATCGCCGTATATAGGCGAAAATTAAAAAAATGAGCTAACTAGGTGCAAGAGTGCGTTGAATCAACACGTCAAAGTACAAAAATTTACTTACGATGAAATAATAAAAAATCATACCATCTATTTCAAGCAAAGCAACTACATTAAAATTACGAACGGCGAAGTCAAGCCATAAAGCAGCGAGTTAACTGGCAAAACTTGCAAGCCCTCAAACGAATCTTACGCTTTAAAATGCATAATTTACTTATTAAAAAAAATTGAAACTCCCGTCCGAACTTACAGTGAATAGCAATAGAAAAAGATATATAGGAAAAACGTAGAAGTCCGCAGTAGTCCGAGGAAACAGTAGGAAACACTTTGAACAGAAAGAAAGGTTAAATTATTCCAAAAGCAAACGTTCATAAATACTTTTCTTGTATAAATAATATTTCAGCAGCATGCACGAATATAGAATAAATTAAATAATCCCTGAATCAAGTCACAAAACACACTAGATGAAGAGATAAGCTCGCTGAGTGCGCACCGGAGTTGAAAATCCAACTCCCACGAAATGAAGTATAAAATCAAATTCTGGAAATGCTGGCCGGAAAACGCATCCATTTTCTACGCCCATTTGAGTGACATTAATTAAGACCAAACTGTACAAGCATAGAGAAAAAAGTAAGGTTCGGGCATTGAAGGAATGCAACGAGAAAAACGTACATATAAGAAGTGGCAGAAAATCAGGTAGCAAACTAAAGAAAAATTAAACTAGCCTATCGCAATGTTTGACGGCCAATCAAGAAAGTTATATAACTAATAAAACAAGAGGACATTTAACTGATAGGGATCCGAATTCTATAAGCTAAAACTAAAGTTTTATTAATAATTGTAAAACATTTCTTTGGGTAGGTTGAGTGCGATCCATGTGGTCCTAGAGGCGCGAATCAAATCTGCGCGTTATTGCATATTAAATAGCAGAATTTATTTTCAATGATCAAAACTAAAACGACAATATTTTATTATTTTATGAAATATTTTTGCATTAACTGCGTGCTAAGAATGACTTATCCTTTGAGGTCTATAAAAGCAATAAGCTGCAATCAATTGAAAAACCCAACATCGACTTTCGGATCAAAGTATTACAGCGACAAAACATTTTACTTGACCTATCAAATATTTCGTCCTGAAGTGCCAGTTTTTACAAAACTTGTTTTTTGCTGTCATAAGTAATGAGTTCAGTGCACAGTCGCCGTAGGTCGTATGCGACTTGGCATGGTTTTGAAAGCAGCGCACAATTGGCAAAACTTGGCATCCAGCATCCTTAATTCTTACATCTTTATCATAAATATTTATCAAATTCTCAGAGAGCAATAGAAAAATATTGAAACTAACTGACAATGATCCTACAATATCCTCCACGAAAGTGAAAAAACTTGCCGAAATTCGTAGGTACATCGCAGTGCAATCCCACATGAAATCTATTACAAATGTCCAAAAATAAATAACAGAAATAATGTCAAAACCATGATTACCAAATAAAAATTATAGGGGAAACCTTCTAGAAGCAATTAAGAAGATCAAACATTTCGGCACATATTTTAAACTATACCTGCGCACTGGCTTACGCAGGTTGATAACTGCATGCATTATTGCAAAAAGTTTTATTGCTATCCGACAATTCGAGCAGAAGTTTAGAAGCAATAATAGAATAAAAAACTCGACAGAAATTCTAACGCGATTATGAATAAATTGAAATTTCACCGGTATTCACGCATTCGAATGATAACACCAATACACGTGAATAAGTTCTTCTATAAGTTCGATGCATTTTATCGCTTCATTAAATGAGATGTTAATAAAAATTCTAGCAGCAGAGGGGGAAGAGACTATTCATCGACAGAAAGAGTTTTCAGGCATCACGAAAATCTTCAGCGAAACGGATTTTTAATCATAAACATATAATTTTCCAGACAATGATGTGAAAACTTAGAATTTTATAGTCCAAGTCTTGACGGTAGCGTCGTGTGCGACCGTGACAAGATATTCATCCGAGAGCCAGAGCACGTCTGTTACTTGCGACTGCGGGTGACATTCTGTAAAATAAGTGTAATGTTTTAGTGACAGTAAATTTTACTTTGAATTATTGCTTTAGCTGAGAAATACGACTTGAGTAACCAACCAAAGAATTAGTTGTCAGTGGTAAACAGATAATCATCGGCACCTATAATAATAAATATCATGAAGAGGATTATCAAGAAGCTTTCGAGGCACGATCTTAATTGGTGAGAAATTAGAAGTCACACCCTTTAGGTAGTATCAACACCATGAACATTGACGGAACAAATGCCGAGGCTAAACAAACCGGCAATATAAAAATCAACCACACTTTGTCTTACGTCGAAAATACAAAACACAAAAAATCCATTTTATAACAAATGGCACAACAGTCGCGGACCCGAATTTCAGTTCTTTAACTAGCCCCGCAGCGAACGCCTTCACTCAACATGCAACAGCCGTACTCAACATCGAAGCTTAGAGGCCATTGGCAACCATACGCAGGATTACTGTGAACCTAACCGGTTCAGTGTTAGCCTGGCTATCATAATGCACAAGTACGCAAATACAACCCAATCTTAGCCTTATCTCCCTACCTTCCCGCAGTAAAGGACAAAAAGGATAGGCCCGGTTAGGAAGCGAGTATGGGTCGGATATACCTTAAACTGTGGTTCACATTTGTGATGAATGTACAGGTTACGACATTGGCTGTGACACTTGAATTCGTAGTAACTATGCTCTCTATCGTGTTCGCCTACGCAAATGAATATGCAGTTATTGTCAAGTTTCAAATTGAGACTCTAGCACGAACTCTGTGAAGAAAAGGTATTTCTAGCAGTCAAAACTTTAAAAGAATTAGGAAAGGAGGTGGCTGGGCTCATTGCAGTAGGTAGTGAGATCAACTGCCAATGAGGCTTGAAGAATAAACAAGATAAATTCACACAACGCAAAGACTGGAAATTCCACAATTAGACGAGGCAGAAAATAACAGGACTGACGGCTGTAAGAAGTTTGGCTTCGTTACAAACACAAAACAACTGTACGCATTAAAGCTCGTCAAAAACAACTAGCAGCAATAAGGAGTGGGTTGACGCACATACAAGAGGAGTTACAGGTAACACTTGAGTATAAATCGAGAACAACGGCACACAAGAAAGCCAATCAGACCATCACCAGCAGGAGATAATTAGTAGAAAGTAGGGCTGCAGACGGGGAAGATAAGTCCCAAGAAGTCTAGTGGGTTGTAATGACCCAAGTCTTGAGGCAGGCGTCATGACCCGTAGAGACGAGTATGTTGTCAGCCAGCCACAGCAAACCTGTCACCTGCGCCTGAGCATGTGCGCCTTAGCACAGCCCGGGGAACACGTTAAACGTTTTTACTATCGTCAATATGACTTGATATTAAAGTAGGATTGTTGCAGGGAATGCATCCTGTCAGCTTCGAAGTATCAGGAATTACAATAACTCGTTGCGCAGCAAATGTGTAACAGCTGTCATATTAAATCTTCAAAACATTTTCAGTAAGGTTTATTCTACCTACTTCTTCTGGGACCAGACTATATCGTTAATACCATACCAGTAGAAGAGCAAACAATTTTCAATTTCCCTGGTAAAATTATGGCGATTTCCGTTACTGAGACGACTGCGCACTAAATTTTGTAGGATAAACCAATAGTAGCAATAGCTATCACTTGCGATTCTGTGCCTTTCCAGTAAGATTGTTTGTTGATGCCTGTTATTTACCAGGTATTATCCGCACGTATTTTAACAGTCCTCCCTCACAAACAACAGCAATTAATAATCCAAAGCTACAAATAATTTGGGAATCAAATTGCACGTTGTTCATGGAACAGACAGTATAATCAGAAGCAACTGGACAAAGAAAAAGGCATTAATTAGGAAAATTATACTCACAGACCACTGAGCGCTCTTATTTTTGAAACATGAACTCCGAAATTACTGAGTTCGCTATTAGGCGAACATCATTAATCAATCAAAGATGCGGTAATTCTGACTCAGCGAGCCGAAAAGCTCATGAATTTTGTTAACCGAGCAGTTTGCGACCTCCTAACTTATATAATATAAAAATAAAATAAAATACTACTGTAACTTTGCCAGCTGATAAATAAATCATGTCCGGAATGAGCCAGACTGAATACTTCACTCACTTCACAACAACGATTGCTGGACTGTAAATAGGAATAATAACCGTGCACTCACTCTGCAGCGTGATGCGCTTATGCATGTCCTTCATGGACCAGACGATGACGGTGGTGTCGAGGGAGCCTGTGGCGATGAGTTCGCTGTTGGGGCTGAAGGCGATGCAGTTGATCTTAGCGTTGTGGAAGCCCCACTCGGCCTTGATGGCTGGAGTCCAGTCACTCGTATTGTACACTTTTACCTGAAGCAATAAAATTCCAGGTTAACAGGACGTAATATTACTAAAATTTGCCGGTATTTTACAACCAAAGTATATTTGAAGACACTTTCACCTGAAGCAACAAAATTAACAGGACGTAATATTACCGTCAACTGGGGTGACTTTGGCCGCGTTTTTGATTTTGTTTTGCAAACAAAAGGGAGCCTGTGCAAAAGGGAGCCTTTTTGCAAACAAAAGCGGGATCATAAACGATGGCCAAAGTCACTCCGGCGTTTATGACCTCGTTTACGACCCTGGCGTTTATGACCCCGGCGTTTACGACCCTGTTTTTGTTTGCAAAACAAAATCAAAAACGCGGCCGAAGTCACCCCAGTTGACCGTACTCAAGTTGACATTTTACAACCAAAGTATTGAAAAAAAATTGCTGGGTTTACGTATACAATGTTTTGTTCGTTGTGATGGATAATGCTCTTTATTTCCAAAGAAAAGTGTTTTCTCATGCCTGTAAAAGAAACGTCACACCCATAGGCGTTAAAAATACATAAGCAATACCAACACTTGTAAAATCACTATAAGCCTTAACATCTTTAACATTCATGACATCGTTTGACATACACGTCTAACATTAAACACCCTAACCTTTCGGTATGCATCACAAGCAGCGAGGTACTTGCCACACGACGAGAACACCACGCCTGTCACCACCCCCAGGTGCTCCAACACTTGCGTCTGAAATGATTCCAATTAATAACAATTGAATTATAAAATGATTGCAATTAATACCATTGGATTATAAAGAAACCGGAGCTTGTTGCTCGTTTTACAAGTCAAAATCCTTCCCCAAACAAGGGAGTAACCACAACAACAAGCGCATACATATTCTCGAGATTGAAATTTAACGCGCGAAAAAACTGCGAAAAGCTAGTTAATTTTAACTGCGTCAAAGTTACATGAAGTAACTGAAGACAGCAAAAAGATAATTATAATAATCATTGAAAGGAGTTTTGCGACTTCGAAGGAACGTCTTATGATTTAGAGATAATAGCTAATAATTAAATCGAGGCAACAAGGCACCCCAACGAGAGTCATAAAGAGCGTTGTTCATCATTAAGATGATGATTAAGAGATTTGTTGTTATCATTATGATGATGATTAAGAGCGTTGTTGTTCATCATTAAGAGTGTCGTAGCACAGGTTACCTCAGTGAGAGTAGAGCCGCTGATGCTGTAAACCCTGAGTTTGTTGTCAGAGCCTCCAGCGGCCAGCAGCGCTCCATCACCACTCACTGCAACGCACTGCCCTTCGTAGGACGTGGGAGTTGTTGATACAACGCTCGGCTGAAATGGAAAGAACGATTAAAACGTCGAGTGGTTTACGGTAGCTACAGCAGTAGCACAAGGGACCAATGTAGTCGGATGCAATTGTATATTGTAGTAGGATGTAATTCTAATGCTCGATTGCAATTGTATGAGTAAAATAGTTGTTGAAATCACGTGATCCTGCAGTGAAAAAAGTAAGTGTTCTTGAAACTTGAAGTGATATTGTAGGCAAAGAACAATGCAATAAAGTAGATATTAATTTTTACAAACAACATTTCATCCATCAAACGATTCCATCTGCTCACTTAGATGACGTTTCAATTTGTAAACATAAGAAGAATGATATTGCAAAACCTCAATTATGAATCAAGTAACTGACAGCATTGATAAACCTAGTATACCAAGGAGTGACCAAGGGATAGAAACATGGGTGATGAGCACAATTTCCTCATCAGTGAATGAAGTTTTAATTGAAACTTGAATTTCTTGGAGCATACACAGAAATGGCCGAAGTAATGTCTATTACGACACGGAATGAGGCAGCTGAATAACCTAACAGGTGAGAAGCGTGATATCATCGTTGGTGTGCAGAACAAGTTTTAGATTACAATTTAAACAAATCTATTGAAGCTTACAAGCAAAGGAATGACTAACATTATAATGAATAAGGCAGCTAAGTGACCTGGTCGGTAAGGAGCGTGATATCCTAGACGGTGTGCACAAGTTTTAGTTAACAATTTAAACAAATTAATTGAAGCATACAAGCAAAGGAATGACTGACATTATAATAAAATATATAACAGCAGTGAGTGACAGAGAGCGCATTTTCTCGTCCGTCCGTGACGCTAAGTCATGGACGGACGTCACGGACGGACATGACGAGCACAATAGCTCCTTTTTCCATAAATAAGAAAATGCGCTAATAAGGCAACTAAGTGACCTGATCGGTAAGGAGCGTGATATGTTCGGTGTGCATAACAAGTTTTAGATAACAATTTAAACAAATCTATTGAAGCATACAAGCAAATGAATGACTAACATTATTATGAATAAGGCAACTAAGTGACCTGGTCAGTGAGGAGTTTGATCACTAAAATGATAATAAATAAGGCAGCTAAGTGACCTGGTCGGTAAGGAGCGTGATATCCTTGACCGTGACCACAGCGAGCCCAGCGTCCTGCCCAGGGCGTGGCCAGGAGCACATGAAGCGAGGTTGGCTGCTCAAGCTCACACGGGTTGTGGTGTACGACATTTGGCATGGATCTGTTCATCGAGAATGTTGTTAATACAGACATATATTGACTGGACAAGTAAATAATAATAATAGAGTAATTTACACAATATTATTTCAGTAATATGTAGTCTGAAATATATACATTATCAATCTTACAATTATTTTTTCGGAAATTTCGTTCGAGCGTTTGTCACATGACCAAAAATATAGGCATTGCTCATGAAGTTTGTATTGATGCTTCGGCCCCCCATCATGGATCTCTGAGCGAGAGTAGCGATATAGGGAAAAAACACACAAGTTTGTTTAATCAGCCTGACAAGTGGTCGGCATAGCCACAAATATAGGTGCCCTAGAAGTAGCTATTACGTAATGAAGGTTACTCAGGAATGGATCTGCTGGGTCAGACTAGCAGAAGTACTTAGATCTTTATAACTCTGTCAGCTATTTGCTGATGGACTCTCAGTATAATCTCACCAATGTCAGACAAGACGTCAGTCGCTTCGTGAACTTAGGCTACTTTGTGAACTAAGGCCGGAACATTTGCTGAAGGTTTACTTATGTCGTTGTAATTAGTTGTACTTAAGATGCTGTATGTACTATAAACGACTCTTGACAGTACGACTCCTGCTGGAGACTCACCGATGACTTGGAGAGTATCATCGATACCGATGGTGAAAACTTTCCCGGCACCACCATCAGCCCCAGCACCCATCACTACGAGACCAGTCACCTGGACATAAAAAGCTATTATATTAGAAAAAAATGTAAGCCAATGAACCAAGGTAAATCAAAGAAACCTAACAAAAACGACATAAAACAATAATAAAAAATCGGCTGGATTTTTAGGTCATGAACTGAAATAAAAATCGACAATATAGTAATGTCAAGACTACCCGCTCGTCTCAATGGCCACAATTTTATAGAGCATATTTTTATTTCTAACACATTTTCATTTCAAAAATGTGTTCTCAATCTCAAGAGGCTGACCTGGTTGCCGTGCCCCTTGCCCTCGACACGTTCACTATCCCCCGTAGCGACGTCCCAGCGCGTCACGCAGCCATCCATGGCGCTCGTGTACAGCTGGCGGCCGTCGGGCGATATCGACACGCGCGTGATGGGTGAACTGTGCCCCTGAAATGAACATGGAGTGTGTTGAAAACATAATAAATGGTTAATTGACATATAGAGACTAATTTCTAATGGTAAATTGATGTTGAAAGACCGAACTGTGCCCCTGAAATGAGCATGGAATGTGTTGAAACCATAAGAAATGGTAAATTGATGTTTAAAGACTAATTTCTAATGGTAAATTGATGTTGAAAGACTGAACTGTGCCCCTGAAATGAGCATGGAATGTGTTGAAATCATAAGAAATGGTAAATTGATGTTTAAGGACTCAGTTTCCAATGGTAAATTGATGTTGAAAGACTCAGTTTCTAATGGATAATTGATGTTTAAAGACTCAGTTTCCAATGGTAAATTGATATTTACACTCAGTTTCTAATGGTAAATTGGTGTTTAAAAACGCGGTTTTACAGCCCCGTTGTTGGAATGGAGAATATGAAAGAATTTATACCAGCGGTATTAGGAGTGATATTCCTACAACTAAATATTCATTTACATAATCGTTACTATCTCCAAACCAATTCTTTGTTATGTTCACAACATTTTTTTAAAGCTATTGAAATCCAGCTTGACGTGGATATGGTACTATCCTCAGCCTAAAAACTTAAGAAAGAAAGTTTTAAAATAATATTATCTTCATAAAATAGATTTCTGAGTAAGATAACGCAGGTGAAATTAGAGACAGGTACCTTGACAATCTTTTCAGGAGCACCAGGCTGGTCTGGATTGAGATAATTGATGAAGCCAGAGAGGGACAGCGACAGCAGATGATTTGCAGGCGTCCAGATGCACGACATTTGTTGGTCTTCCACCTAAGATAGCAGGAAATCAAGGTAATCGCTTGATCAACCTTGAATTCAATAGTACTAAATTTATTACCCAAGGAAATTTTCGAATAAACTAGTGATTTACTAACGTCACTTACAATACCGTAGTTCAAAGAAAATCAAATTGCAGACTTCAATTCTCAATAATCCTTGCACAGGAGAACAATTTTAGTCGCTAAACGAGCAAATTATTCTCCCTGTTGATCAAATCACAAACCTGTGACCCCATATTGTACTCAGCAAGCAGTTCACCAGTCTCAACTTTCCAAATCTTGCAGGTTTTGTCGCCACTTGCTGTCAGAATCTGAACGGAAGAGAGAAATACTTAATTTCATTTGTTGGCCCTTATTACAAAGTAGTAAATTTAAAGTGAGCTATTGCTTTCAGAGCCATACCCTGATCTTCTATTAAAACATATATTAATTTCCAACATTAACTAATCGTAATCTTATTGTGATGAATGTTCAACTGTAGTAATCATCCTTAGTATGTAATCAAATCACAATAAACTGCAAATTTCAGTTCTTGACTTCATATTGATGCTGCTTCTGCACTTTATCGGCAATACCCTATCACAAGAAATCACAAAAGTCTGAATTCACAAACAATTGTTCAAATGTTAGCTCAAGTGCTACAGAAGTTCAACTGAAAGCATGGTCAAAAATTTTCTGGCATTACTAGAACTCACTCGTGTATTGTCGGGTGACCACGACAGGCCGTAGATGCCCCCTTTATGAGCACCTGGTTCACCAACTTCACGCACAACTTCTCCACTCTTGCCGTCATAGACGAAAACTTTCCCATCAAAGCCTCCTGACGCAAAGTGTTCTCCATTAGGAGAGAAGCGCACCACTTGCACATACTTCTGGTGTTCCTGTTGGCACAACGAGAAAAGTATGATGAGATCATTGAAGTTAGTAAACAAATCAAGGAAATTGCAAGGAATATCAAATAAAATAGGCAATATTTTGATAAACAAACAAAAACACTTGAATTATCGATTTATTAACCATGATGCTAGTGGTTAATAAGTGCTTTCTGGGCACAAAGCTGATTGACCCAAGCTATCGAAGATTCAGAGTAAGGATTTATGAAGTAGTTTGAGGATTTAGAGTATGGATTTATGAAGTAGTTTGAGGATTAAGAGTATGGATTTATGAAGTAGATACAACAAAGTAAAGAAAATGAACTAGGGAGAGAGAAAGTAGCAAACCACATCCAGCAAGGTGTTGATATGAAATCGTCATTCATGTCAATTTAGTGACCAAGGTTGCGTGAAAACGTTAAGTGGAAGAATCACAAGCAATACTAACTAGTCGAACCACTCACAGTTTTGGAGCACATGAACTGGAAGGGAGGGCCGTCATAAAGAGCAACTTTGTTGTCTTCAGCTCCCGTGACAAGCCTGAAGGGGCGGCTGGTCTTCCAATCTACGCTGTTGATGACTTTACTGTGGCCTGATAGATCACCTTTCACGCTGGCGCCCGTGTCCATCATAAACACGTGGGCAAACCTATAGAAAACAAAGTATGTTAATGATAGTACCGTAGTTAAGTAGAACAGTGGAATAGCACTGTTGAATCTTGAATTGCTATGCAGGGTCTACCCGACCTCAGTTCACAATTCCGGTGTTCACGAGTTAAAACTCTTCTACTTGATCAGACTCCAAAAGATCTTCTTATAATAATTAGTCAGCCGTCAACGATACGAAACTGATTTACACTAATTATTTTCTTAATTTCACTCAAATTTTCAAGTTCCACAGGAGTTGATCATCGAATAGATTATTGTCGTTTGAAACGTTAAAATTTTGCCATCATGAAAATCGATTTCGACTGGAAATAAGAGCTACGGGCGGTAAACTAGCTACGAAAACGCACTGCACTCGAAAATTTAGAGCTTACAAATAAACATTGGGCTACCAAATATCAAATATAAATCAGACACCCCAAACTCCAAAACTACAACGAAATCAAATCTCACAAGTACCTACTCAACATTTTTTGCACACCATCACATCAAGACCAACGACTTCATGTAAAGTCCTTGTTGACCAAAACGTTGTCTTAATTTATATTTTAGTAATAGCTAATTTGCACAGCCATAATGGCCTAATGTGATAGGTAAATACTTGAAAACATCAAATTTGAGGCATGCATCAACAAAGCCTTTTCTACATTAATAAACTATGATTTTTCTTATTACAACCATACATAGGTATCGGTACCAGTCAGCTTTTCGTCAATTATTGCTCCACATACACAAACAACTTCCCTAGCTACAGTCTACAATTGTTCAATTGTATTTTGAGGTACATACAGTCAAATATTAAGTTAAGTTTGAATTTCATTGTTCCCTAGTTCACCAGAATTATTCAGTCCAATATAAAGGTAAAGTGGATACCTACTACAGAATAATGCGCTATGACACTCACTTGCCCCGTCCATCACCAACAACAGCAATGCGCTGGCTGTCAGGGCTCCAGACGAGGTCTCTGATGCAGCCTCCCAAGGGCTGGTACTCGGCCTTCAAGACGTGCTCTGCATTCACTGTGTCCCATATTCTCACCTTCCCATGGATATCTGATTACACAAAATAAAGTCATTAAAGTAAAATAAAGGCAATATCTGGTTACAATTTAGACATGCTGTGGAAGTTTCTAAATTTGCTTTGTCACTTAATTGTTAGTACTTAATTTAAGACTTGTCAAATATTGGATGCTATTACTATCCCATGATGGATATATCATTAAAGAAAAAAATGGGCTCACTTTAATTTTAGTCATATCTAGTGAGAATTTAATAAAAAAATAATACATGATTGGCCAAAATAGAGAATAATTACCACTGGCTAGAAATGTCATTGTTAACACAAGTTAAGTTAAAAGTTAACACAAGTGAATTAATGTAGTAGTAAAAGAAATTTTATGACCCAACTATAACATATGCATTTATAATTGCTATCCAATAAGTTCTAGACTCTTTTACAATTTAAAGCAGCTACAATGATTTTAAGGACAAAACATAACAATTTTCAGAAAAAAAAGTAAGAAAGGATTTAAATTAGAGAATAAAAATATAGGCACCGTATGCATAAAAAATTATAGTAAATCCACGGCAATTCACCAGCAGAGCAGATGTAGTATCCAGAGGGAGCCCACTTGGCAACTGTGACTGGCACAGAATGCTCAGTGTATATCTCACTCACAGAAGGGTTCTGAAACATCCATTCAAATCAATACATATAATAATGCAATTGACACACAACTGAGCATTGTACCTAAAGAGAGCTGGTGCTAATTTTTCATTCAAATCATTACATATAATAGTGCAATTAGGAAACATCTGATCATTTCATTTGGTAAGAAACAGCAATGGAGTTTCTATTGCAAATTTATAGTACCTACTACTGATGACATTTCTAGAAATTTCATTTTACTTGGCGGTACCAATCAAGTATCTTCAACAATTTCCAAGTACAAAGATAATAAAACAATTAAAGGAAATAAAATGAGTGTCAAATTTACACTAGAAGCATATTAGAAACAAACAAAAATGTAAAATTAAATGAAAATACATCTACAAGAAAGCCTCCGACATTGAATACCAATAAAAGTTTTGCAGTTCTTCACTAACAAACATGTGGTTTTCATTGCTCATAACATATTTGAAAATTACAATATCAAAATGTCAGTCATTTCCTTCATTTTGTCCAACCCCTGTACATATAGGTATATAATGATAGTGGAAGGTGGTTGCCAACCCATGATTAAATGCAAGCTTGTCAATTTCAAACATGCTTCTCTGTGCCCAAAAATTAAGTACTGGATGTTTTTTTCTAGTCTTTAGGTTAATGGCAATTTAGAGTAAAACAAGCCGAGGTAATCTAAATGTGTAAATATTATGCAAAAGCAAATACATGCACCAACATATACCTTTATATCCCGTATAATGACAGAATTGCCGTGCCCATACAGGAGTTTTTCACCTTTGGGATCACATCCCAGTACCACAGGCTGCCCTCGTACAGTACGCGGCAAGCATGCCCAGATGCTCTCTGTAAAATACATGGAAAGTTGATGTTTTTAGGAATACGTTGTTATCCATCTTGGGCAAGTGCAATTGACTAATATCACCAGAACTGAAATGACATTTATATATGTACACAATTATTAGTCTGGTAGGCTAAAAAGTGCAAAATGACTGGCAATTCCATTTTAACAACACAATTTTGTTGATAGAGCTAATATGATATTAAAAAGAGGCCTTGTCATAGACATACTATCTAATACATGGTAAGGAATAATTTCAATATTTAATTTGATGCGTTATTAGTATTATTCCAGGGTGCAGAAATTGGGTGAATATCGAAAGATATTTGGGCAATTTGGCCATGCATCAGCAGAAAAATTTGCGCCTTCAGCTGCCATCTGAAGATCTTGCTGACACATTTGGATTGAAATTATTGCATTTTAGGAATTACTTCAAATTACTGCAAATCTGAAAGACTGCAAGTGCAGATGCCACACAGTAAGGTTTCTGGTGCTGCGGTACACCGGATGGATCAGGATGCAGTGAAGTTTGTCCAGAAATCAGTTGCGATGTAAGTGTTACGGTGAGTGGAGAGTAAGGGATATACTATCAAAGTTGCTTGCAGCACTTTCTCATTAAAATATACCCAGATACAGACCTTGAAAATGGCTGGCACTGCTTAGGAGTTTGGGCTAAAAATCCATACCGTCAACCGGGGCTACTTGGGACAGATTTGATCGTTTTTTTTGTTAATAACCGTTAATAACTTATTACGATGAAACATTTCATAAACAAATTTAAGCTCATTTTATAGCTCTTTGCCAGGGCTATCGAATGGCATTGTCAAAAAAATTCCATATGCTATTCCTAAGGTGCCAGACGCAAAATAAAGATTGTCCCGAGTAGCCCCATATGTCGGGGCTACTCCGGACAATGGGAATAAAACTTCATTTTAAAACATTTGAAGCATGCAGAGTGTACTCATCCATTACTAACAGTACTCTGAGTCTGAAGTCCTCCTTTTTTATTGTAGAGGATGTAGAGGTAGAATAAATGACATTTTCTGTGATTTATACTTGTTTTTCCTTTATTGATATGATATTACCATAAACATTAATTACCTTCAACTGGGGTGACTTGGGCCTCATTTTTGATTCATGCTGGGGTCGTAAACGCGGGGTCGTAAACGCCGGGGTCATAAACGCCAGGGTTGTAAACCAGGTCATAAACGCCGGAGTGACTTTGGCCATTGTTTATGACCGTTTATGACCCCGCTTTGGCCATCATTATGAACATGGCGGAATCCCCCAGTTGATGGTACCCTATTATTGATGGGATATTACTGTATTATTGATGTGATATTACCATATCCATGAACATGCCATTGAGCATTTACAACAACCTTGTTCACTGCAAGCTCCATATCAGCAGCCTTATAGCATTTTTTTCTGTATCTGTAAGCATACAGGATGGCTTGTAATTTGTGTGACGATAAGTGAACTTTTTTTCGCTCAGCCAGGTAAATGTAGTCAATATTCTTTGTTTTTAATCAATTTGTTTTTAACTGGAGCCTTTGCTAACTGAGGTTCTACCGTAAATGTGTTTTTGGGGGTGTCCCGAATAGCCCCGGGGGGGTGTCCCGAATAGCCCCGGGGGGGTGTCCCGAGTAGCCCCGCCGTGCGGAAATGGCTGCCATTTCTTTTTGGAATGAGATAGGCAAATTCTATCAATTACGTTTTCAAGCCGACACCTGGGTGCAATTTTTATGTAAGTAAAATTTTTTAATACGGCAAATATTTTTTTTGCTACATACCTTAGCAGTTGTAACTTTACAAAATATAGTTTTTCACCATTTTTTCAGGAATTTTTCAGAGCAAGTAAATGTAGTATTTTTCAACTTCCTGTATACTACATAGATAGGAAAAATGTTGACGTTTACGCCACTATTTTTAATATTCCAATTAGTTTCGCTACTACAACAGTTTTACGACGTGTCGGAGGCCTGTCCCGAGTAGCCCCGCTTGTCCCGAGTAGCCCCGGTTGACGGTAGTATGTTGGCATTACTGCCATTTAGTTGGCAACGCTGCTTGCACCCTCTGCACCCAGGATTAGAATTTTCCTGGGTACTTGTTTCTAAAATCTTGCAGCTTCAACATGACAAATTTTTTATACATTTGGAATCTTGCAGCCCAATCGTGCATTTTTGTTAACAATTATATAAGACATAATTTATCTGGCAGAAATCTCACAGTTCCGGTTCTGGAAATGGTTAGAAAGTTCTAGTTGCGGCCCTAAGGTTAGAAGATTTTCCATGCTTGTCTGCATGGTTGCACCCTGGGTATTATTGGGTAAAGTTTTCTTAAATTTGAGAGATAGCTCCAGGGTGCAGAGGGTGGAAGCAGCATCGCCAATATATGGGTTTTCAAGCCCAAAGCATCGCCAACCATTTTCAAGATGCGTTGCTGGGTTATATTTAATGAAAAGCCATTTATGCTGAGTAATGAAAAACTATTTTCAAGCCACAAACTTATTTACAAGGTTGCATGCACGTGTTACCCCAAATAACTAATTTTACCCTAAAAACAGTCTGATTGTAGAGTAAGTGTCAACTGAACATGTGATAATGCAGTCTGACCGCTCTAATGTGACCACAACTACGCAACCGTAAACTTGTTGTTTACATTTGCATAGGATATTTCTGGCAGGAAGTCGGGAACTCATCGCAACTGATTTCTAGACAAGCTTCTCTGCATTCTGATCCATCCAACGTACCAGAAACCTTACTTTTTCTAAATAGTTTGCCAAAGACTGACAAATATATTAAATGCAAGAATTTCAATCTAAATGTGTCAGCAAGATCTTCTGAAGGTGTAAGTTTTGCTACTGAAGCATTGCCAAAGATCTTGCAATATTCATCCACTCTCTGCACAGTGGCAAAATGGCAGTTTCTCTTTCCTGAACTCTGAGTACAGTAACTGTTGTAGAGGCAGCCTTCAGAATGGCATTGGATAAGTAGGATCAACCACTGTCAGCATCCATTGGACCATGTGCAGCAGAGATCAATGCTATCTGATAGCTAATATTAACAACTATAACTTACCATTAGCATATGACATGTTGAATCTAATATTTGCACCCAAGCAAAAAATATCCTGAAAATATGGACATATCTTTATTAATATTAGGTATATATATAAATGTATTTGAATTCATTTTTATTAAATATCAATAATAGCAGAGTAGGGTAAACGCGGTATATTCCGTCACATTAAGGACGCATCGAGAAATGAAAAACTATAAAAAAATAACCGTATGCGTTACTCAATTTCTGTTTGCTTTATGTGACTCTCAAAACACCGTACTACGCGTCAGCAACAACGAAACGTCACAAAATGTTGCCATATTTATTTAAAAGCCTTTAGAATGCAAACCTACCAAATCCCTATATTCCGTCACTGTGTGTGGCTATATTCGGCACGTGGTGAGGCGTATTCCATCCGCTGTCTCTTATACACATCTAACACTAGTGTAAATATTTCATCGATTTAGCTAAATATAGCCTATTGAACTATTAGTAAGCTAACAGTTTATTAGTTTAGAATAGATAATAGTTTATTGTTAGTATTAGCCGACCACCCACCTGAGACCAGCAGTCCAGCACTNCAATCTGTCTCTTATACACATCTAGATGTGTATAAGAGACAGGTGAGGTACATCGCAATTTGGGCCAAAATTTGCAGTGAACAAGAAATTTCTTCTAAACTACTGAATAGATTTTAATGAGACTTTGAATACACAATCCTAACCTCTCAGTTAGTGAAAATTTTTTCGATTTCGCTTTCGTTCGCGAGTTATACGGATATACGGAGAAACGACCGGCATTTTTTAGGTCAATTTTTAAATTTGAATTGACAACGAGCCATATACCGGTACGTATAGCCTGTCTCTTATACACATCTAGATGTGTATAAGAGACAGCATCGTTGCTGACGCATAGTGAAGTGTTTTGAGAGTCATGTGAAGGCAACAGAACTTACGTAACGCATACGGTTTTTTTTATAGTTTTTCATTTCTTGATGCGTCTTTAATGTGTCGGAATATACCGCGTTTACCCTATGGTTATTTTTTTATAGTTTTTCATTTCTCGATGCATCCTTAATGTGTCGCAATATACTGCGTTTACCCTATTCACTATTTGGTAGAGCAAGGTCAACTGTCAAATTTGACACATTTTTCGATGATCTCACTGGGTACCTAGTGTGCATTGTCTCTCTTTGGATCTCAATATTTTCCCGCTAGATGGCCAAGACCTAGTGTTTTGGCAGTAGTTCGACGCGCAAATTTATGACGTCACCATTTCAACCATCAACAAAGGCATGGAACTAAAACAAAGCTTAATAGGTATCATAGTGACAAACCAGAGATTTTTTAGAATCAGTTCATTTTTAATTTCCTCATTTACCCAAGATTTAATCCAATTTCTTATGTATGATGGTGCTGGTATCCAGGATACTTTACTGGTCTACTTATAGGCCAGGTCTCATACAGTGGCAATAGTCGTTGGAATTTCAACGACTTTTGCTAAAGTTATCGACTAATTTTTTTACTTTACAACGACTTTCGAGCTAAAATAATCGGTCATTTATTTTTTTCAACGACTGCCAAGTGCCAACTAATGGGACTCTTCCACAATAAACTTATGACGACTGCCAACAAGCGACTTAGCAAGACCCGACAAGATACGACTGCGGTACTAACTAAAACCCGGACCCCAACAGCGCATTACGAGCGGCGGATGTAAAATGTTCAGCCCCGGCCCCTGGGACAATGCAACCATCATATGTATTGAAGCTTGCAAAAATAATCGGACAGATTACGCCAGTGTTTTTTTCCACTTAGAAGCTAGAATCAAACTTTCTTGAGGAAATTTTCTGCATGTTATATTTTTATTTTAACCTTGACATGTAAGAGCATGTAGGTGTGCAATATATTGCAGTGTTTTTATGCATGATATTCATGCATTTTAACCGATTATGCACATCTGAAAATTTGTATGTAAAATATTACGATGTTTGTGTGCATGAAATTCACACACTTCAACTTAATACACACATCTGAAAGTCTGTATATGATATATATCATAAGGCCTGTATTCATGTTATGCGTGCGCTTCAACACTACGTATACATCTGAGAGCTTGCATGTAATATATTACGATTCCTGTATTCATGATACTCATGCTTTTTTTCTAAATAGTTGGCTGAAGACTGAGAAATATATTAAATGCAAGAATTTCAATCTAAATGTGTCGGCAAGATCTTCTGAAGGTGAAAATTTTGCCGATAATGCGTCGCCGTAGGTCTAAAAATCTTCGTTCACTCTCTGCACAGTGGAGTATATTCGAGTTCTGACAATACTGACATCGTGGGTAATTCTGACACTTCTCTAGTTTTTCCTTTATATTAAGCTTTGTTGTAGTTCCACCGCTTCCATGCATTTGTTGATGGTTGCAAACCAGACTGGAATAATGGGCGGGAGCCACCCATAGAAGAGCAAAAATCACCCATGAACATGGTGGCAGGGAATTATTGTGAGTACTTATGCGTTTGCAAGAGCATCGCCCGGTCCGGCTCAGTGGGGTGGGGGTAGGAAGGGAATAACGAAAGTCTCATTTACGACTGGACTAACCCATTGAGCAACATTTTCTCAGTTATGGTCTCATAACAACTCAATTTTAAAATATGTACAGTTTCGAAGTTGATATAAGTAAATAAATAAATATTTGAACTGGGAAATTCCTTACTTACTTACGTTGCTTCCAGATTTATATCAATGACGTGAAAAATGACAATGA